GAGCCATCCTCCTCTGGATTCATTGCTCACCTCCTGCAGCGCTGGCTTTTCCATTAAGGAATCATCAACCAGTCGCTTCGCCTGCCTGTCCTCCTGCCATCCCCGACGTTCGTGAGTACTCGAGGAACCATTCCTCCCCTCGCACTCATTCTCTCTGGCCTCTCCCACAGAAACACCCCCACCGCCCAAAACTCTCCCACCTGGCATGTAAGCCGACTGCACCCCTGTCCTGATTCACCTGTTCCCTTACCTGTTCACTAATCATTCCTCCCTCTGTTACAGACTCCCACGGCTTCGATCGCAGCTTCTCAGAACAGCCTCCCCTCATGAGCTTCTGTTTTTGACCGACCCCTCTGTAAATAAATCTTGTCTATAGTTCTCAGTGAGTGCACTGAGTCTGCTTTTCGGTCCTGCCTTTGTGCGAATCCCAGTTCATGACAGCTGAGCAGGTACTGTTTTAGAAAAAACCTTAAACACCGTGGCGAGTCGATCCGAGTAGGTGCTAATGGTGTTGACGACCCAGTTTCAGTCAAGCTTTAGTGGTTGGACGGGCAGTTCATAATCCACTCAGCGACTGCAGGTGCCCAGATCCTCACCTCCACCACGGGGCTGACAGTTGGTTTGATGCTTGGTTTTCTCCAAATGTGTTGTTCACATGCAGCTTTGCAAACCTAAGTTGTGCTGCCACGTTCTCTCTCCTGCAGCCCTCCCATCATTTACCCTGCTGACCGAGGCCTGTAGAGTCTGACATGTTGTGCTAAAACCTCGGCTTCGACAGGTGCTGACGATCAGCTAACCAGGTGCAGTGATTAGCTGACCTGGCTGCTACTTAAATCCTGTGGTGAACTTTATCACAGGAGTCCAGGTGAAAACTTTCTTCTTCACATCCTCGAGAATTTGCTACAAGTAATGATAACATGCCAGCCAATTTACAACTCAAAGAAAAACTTAAAATAAAAATAATGCAGTGTCAATGATGCAAAATAAGAATCTAAACCACTCTGATGATGTTACTGCTGCTCATTAACATGCATGCTCTATCTCCACTGCAGTCGGCCGTATCAGTGTTAGTGAAAGACAAACATGTCAAAGGAAACGACCGAGCTGATGGAGCGTGCAACGTTCCTTCTTCTTCACCTTTGGGAAACACGGTCACCACACGACTTCAGACTAAAGGAACAACCAGCTGAGACAAACCCAGTACACTCCTCTGAAGGAGTGCCAGCACTTCTCTGAAACAACAGTGAACAGAGTGCCGCTCTCACCACGTGACGAGGTGACCACAGGCTGTAACTCAAGTTTAAAGACAAAGCATCCCACCCACAAAGACTCAAAGACATTTGCATTCAGGGAATGAAGGATTGGAGGCTGCAGGTGTGTGTCTGTGTGTGAGTGTGTGAGCAGGTTACCTGAAGTGGGCGACTTGTTCCTCTCCATGTCAATCGACTGCTGGTTGTCAGTGAGTTCAGTAAGGCCTGCAGCAGCCGACAGGAAGAAGAAGCAGCACACGCAGTGTGTCAGATTATTTGAAGCCGGTCATGCAGATTAAGCAGACGTCTGATTGGTAGAAGTCAGCCACGCTAAGCCCAAAGAAAGAGTGCAGCTAGCAACAATGCTTCATCATTACATCATTCCTCACGAGGTCAGCCTCGAATATTTGCTCTTTGCTTTTTTATCAGGATTCAAAGTGCCTTGGCTGGGCAGAGTGGCTGATTACTGATGCGACCTGCACTACAATCAGATTTAACATCTTTTACCAGCTTGCATTAAAATTCAAAAAGCATGTAGTGCAAATCTCATGATAAAGTGGAATAAATAGCGAACATACGAAACAGCACACACACAAATTCAAACAGGATACTGTTGAACATATTCAGTCACATGCAGCAAGCACGAGCCGACATGGAGTCGTTTGTAAAAACTGCCACAAACACTGAGATTTCTAACTCAGCCCTCAAAGCCCGGCTGCAGACGTGGGCTGTTTGAAGCAGCGTTCATTAAGGATTCATTAACAGCCTCGCAGAGTCGTCACAGCTCAAAACATTATTTGTCTTCAGTCACAGGTTCTGCCAAACATTGGTGATGCCGGTAGTTTATGCTGACGTTACAAATGGCTGAAGACACTGAGAGGTGCCCTCGTTAAACTTTCCTCTGTAACCGTCAACAAAAAGCACACAGTTAGCTTCAATAACCCCACTGGCTTTAGTTAAAATATACATCGCATGGATAATGCATTATTTATAACTGCGCTTGCTCGGCTGTCTCAAAGAAGTGTCTCTTCTTCTGCAAAGAACAGACTGCTGGACATGACTGGAATAGACAAAGCTCTGCAGGTGACGTCTCGCTTTATCCCAGTCATGTCTTTGGTTTGTCCTGGGCTTCGAGTCTGTGTCAGTTCTTGTGGCAATAATCTGTACCAAACATCATGTCTTACTATGTCCATCAAAACACCAACCCACACCCCCCACACACATACACTGACTCCCCCGGCCTTTGGGAAGGCCCGACTTACTCTGATAGGATGTACGGATCCTTTTCTTTGAATCTGAATAAAAGTTAGACAGGCCGCGCATGCAAAACTCTGTCAGGCAGGCCCGCATGCCCACACCAGCAGCCACAGAGTCACCAAAGTAGGAGGAGGAGGAGGAAGGAGGGGTGGAAATGAGGAGTGGGGTTTGAAGCGAGGAGAGGTTAAAGAGGACAAGAGGGTGGAAACGGAAGAGCGTAAGTGGGGTGGAGGCAAAGGAAGAATGGCAGTAATGAGAAAAGAGGGGACGTTAGTGAGAGGAATGCATGAGGATAGAAGGAAGGGTGGATGAGGAGGGGTGGGGGTGGGGAGAGAGAGGAGGCGGGGGGAGGGGGGGGAGAGAAGAACACACAGGCTTAGAGAGGAAAAGAAAGTGAGAGCAAGCAGCAAGTGAGATCGTGTCAGGGAAGGGCACAGGAAATACCCGCTACTCCAGCAAACCCAGAACTGCTGGTGTCACTGGTGTCAGCAGGGAACATGTCATTACCAGCAGCGCAGCATGGAAACCCAGCTCGTTGTCATTTAATCATCTGCATTGTGACATCATTCTGAGAAGTAAATGCCCACATTTGATGGCTGAAAGCTTTCACACTCATACACATGTGTGTGTGATGACAACAGCTAAAGATGTGGTGGGAGGCACAGGAAGTGTTCAGACTGGGCACCGGCACCGGCCTTTTGGCTGTGCTCTCGAAGTCTGGTGTTGAGCCTTGTGTGAACCGGAGCACAGTAAGTGCCTCAGATCAGCACAGCACCACCCGCGGCACAGAAAAGGGCATGTTTGCCCGCTTCTATTTTCCTTTCTGTCTCCACATTGATTTTAAAGCGCTCACACAGAAGGTGTAGGGTGCAAGAGCATACGAAAAAATCACCAGAGTATTTTCAGCTCACCTGTGGGAATTACGCAATGAAACGAGCACTTGCTGCAAGTTCTTCTGAAATATTTACCACCAGGTTGGTGCCTGGTCCAAAAAAGAGTCGGCCTCTATTTTATACAGTGATTCCTAAACGGTGGGTCTGAATATCAAGCACGTTAAATATAATTAAGATGCTTCAGAGGCCGTCAGCAGACGAGATCATAGAAAAGGAGGAGGGATTAGAAACACCTGTGTGGCTCTTACAGGTCTGAAAACAACAGACTGAGAAATCAAATGACAACATGCATATGATGCCCATGTGGAATGACACGCAACCTGTTAACATGCACTTCATGTCACAGTGCAGCTCTATGACAGGCAGAGATGGGCAGGTGTGTTTGTGTTTGTGTGTGACAGACAAAGAGGAAGGACAGGAGATCCAGGCCGTCGTCGTGTTACAGATAGTCTGATGTTACTGTGTCAGTGTCTGCTCTCGTTTGCTTTCCCCACTCTGAGGGTTTTGTCCGAACTTCATCTTCATCAACCATAAATGCTAACGATGTGCTAACTGCAAGGCTAATGTCACATTTTCTGTTTTCAGTCAGCTGAGAGGAGTTTAAACACCACCACTTATTCTCACTAGTTTTTAATGCTGTGCCTAAAACGTCAGTTTATTAAAGATGTTTTTATTTCAGTTGGTTTGTATTTTAAGCTCTCGAGGTCACTGCAGAATCATCCCGTTCAAAGCGGGACATTATTACATTACACACACACACTTGGAAGTTAAATTTTGTTTCTAAAATAATAAGAATGCAGTTTATAAAGTAACACATTAGAAAACAACAGCAGGCAGACGCGTGTTTTTAAATTAAAATATATATTTATATATTCAATTAACATATTATTATATAATAATAAAAGTAATTTGTAATTATAATGTAACTGAATGTAAAATATTATGAAAACTAAGAGTCAGGGCTGAGTAGTGCATACTACTTTAAATATGCTCTACTTCCCATCACACAGTAATGATTGATTAGCAGTAATGATTGATTAAATATTGAAGGAATATATTGAAACTATTTGTCACGCACTAGATCAGAAGAGACAGAAAGAGAAGAAGACAGAGGAGCAGAGAAAAGATCAGATTCAGTGTCTGGATGGCGTGATGTTGCACATTGAGTATCAGGTGTGTGTGTGTGTGTGTGTGTGTGTGTGTGTGTGTGTGTGTGTGTGTGTGTGTGTGTGTGAGAGAGAGAGTGTGTACTGCCTGTTCCTGCGGGGGGAACGGGTAAGGCGCTGGTAGGGGTCGGTGCTTCCGTACAGATCCAGTGTCGACAAACATAATATGACAGTTTTT